AAGCATAACATTTGAGTTTGAATTTTGGTGCTCTCATTTTTTTTTTTTTTTAAATATTGCTTCAGAAGTGTTCCCCACCTATAAAATGGGAAAAAATTTGCATGTTTAGTAAGTTTGTTATTTTAATAATCTGTTAGAATATGAATCTCTAGAATCAGTTTTAGTTCGTTAGTGAAACTTTCCCAGTCCCTAGTAAGAGAGAGCCCAACGTCTTCTCTCCAAAGTGGCTGGAATATGCAGTGGCTTTGTTGTTCTGCAATTTCTGTTTGAGTGAGCTTCTTTGTGTAACAGGGCTTTATGATCTTATAATAATTGGGTTTGTTGGCACTCTGCTGATCTGTTCATAAGCTTTCCACTTTTTGGCAATTTTTGCAATGCTAATACTTTGCTAAATTTGTTGCCTAGTCTCCTTTGAGTACCAACTTGAATGTGTTTGAGCTTAACTATTCCTGTATATTCCAAGGGTGTTGTTTCTTTAATTGCTGCATACCTGCTTCATAAGCCACATCTTTCTTCATTATAGAAGAAACACTCTGATTGGAATTTACTCAGAGGAGACCAGCTTTTATTAGCAAAAAGGGTATAATCAAATAAATTTTAGTACTTTAAGATAAACTTAGTTAATCAAAGTAAATGAGAAATCATTCTAAGTGCAGTCCTGCAATTTGGTCATGTTTAAGTGAGTAGATATAATTCTTCAGAAATTGGTTACAACCATTGACTTATAATTAATGTAGTCAGGCAATAAAGAATACACTGTTTTTCCTAAGTTAATGTCCTTGAAATCATGTTTATATTCTAAGCTTTGCAATAGAGAGTGATTTCCCTGTTTGCAAGACAAATTACAGAAATAACACAAGAAGTTTACTGTATAAATGGAGATTTTTTAGTGGTAGTGAAAACACTCTACTGGAAGCTGCATCCTTGAATGGGCTCTGCCCCTAGCAAGCTTAGAAACAGGAAATTCACTGAGTTTATCTATGACCCCATCTATGAAAGTAGGAAGTTGGATTAAATTTCCTGTAAGTAATTTTTCAAATCTTGGAATATATGGATTCTGTAACTCTTCAGTTTCACACAAGTCTCTCTCACTTTTCCTACATATAGGCCATAGGATAGCTACTTAATATTTGTTTTAATGACTGTTACAGCTGAAAACACTATGGGAATTCAAATTTAAACCCAACTACAAATTTTAGATGTTTGTCTTTATGTTCTGGATGTTCAGTTTTTAAAATGACTTACAACTTATAATAGCCTTATGCTGTTATTGGTCAGTATGTAAAGTTACAGCATATGCTTAAGATGGAACTTATCATTATCTTACTGGCGTTTACAAATTTTAGAGTAGGGGAGGGTACTGTACTCTTTACCCACTTGCATCCTCTGTTCACTCCTCAACTCACTGCATTCTGGCCTTTGCACGTTCCAGTTCTAAGCATTCATGATGTTTCAGTACTCTTTCATGTCTATTTGCTTTTTAAATTTTCTTTTGATTTGATATTTTTTTCTCCCCCTACTTTGTGTGTGCATCTGTGTGTGTGTGTTTGTGTGCTTCTGTTCTTTTATGGTTCCTCTCTCTTAATTTTCTAGAGTTCTTTCCTTATTTAGTTTCATCAGTTGATCATTCAAAGTCTATATATGTTATTTCTTCTATCCTCAGCATTTTGTCACTGCTAAAACAATATAGCCTGGGAATATGTCTAATATTAGTAATCATAATAAATGTAAATCAACTGAATTATGAAAAGATGGAGGTTGTCAGATCCAACAAAAAATTCTCTTAAGAAATTTTATAAATTGTATAAATTTAATAAATTGTAAAGAACTGGTATCTTATAGAACATAGTCTCTTATTACAACTAAACATCAGTGACTGTTTTAGTCCATTTTGTGTTGCTATAACAGAAATACTTGAGACTGGGTAATTTATAAAGAAGAGAGGTTTATTTGGCTTACGATTCTGGGACAGCTGCATCTGGCATGGGCCTCAGGCTGCTTCTACTCATGGTGGAAAGTGGCAGGCAGCCAGCAGGTACAACCAGATCACATGGCTAAAGGAAGCAAGAGAGAGAGAGAAGGTGCCAGGGTCTTTTAAATAACCAGCCCTCGCAGGAACTAACAGAGCAAGATCTCACTCAGTCCCTCCTCCCCCAGAGAGAGAATTAATCTATTCATGAGGGATCCACCCCCCCGAATCAATCAGTTTCCAACACTGCCACATTGGGGATCAGATTTCCACATGAGTTTTGGAGGGGACAACACATCCAAACTCCATCAGTGACAAATATATAAATAAAAGAAACCAATACAGTTAGAAATATAAAAACATAGTTCACAGATTCTCCTATGTAAGGAAAAAGAAAAGCCATAATGGAAATTATATCTTCAACTGAACAATAATTAAAATACTATAAATACAAACTTATTATACAGTTATTGTAAACCTGACTTTAGAATTGATTCAGGGATAGGCAAACAATGGAACAAAAATAGAACTCAGAAACAGATCCATACCTTTATAGAAATTAGATACATGATAGAAAGGCCATGTGTCGGGGGAAAAATGAAGCAGTCAATAAATGATACTGGTAACATCGGTTTTCCATTTGGAAAAAAAAAAAAAACGGACTTCTATCTCATATCACACACAGTAATTCCAGGTGGAGGAAAGACCTAAGTGTGAAAAGCAGAACTTTTGCATCTTTAGAAGAAATATACAGGAATATATTTATGCTATTTTTGGACATCTTTATGATAATTCTTACTGAGTTGTATATTCTTTTAGAAAGTGTTAGTATATAGAATACATAAAGAATTTCTATAACAGGATAAGGAAAAAAAAAGGACAACCTAAAAGGAAACTGAGTAGAATTCATAGAAAACTAGAATCCATTAAATTTCACTAGTTGATAGAGAAATCCACATGTTAGTACTATGAACCATTTCACACTAATCACAATGGCTAAAATGAAGTATTCTGTCTACACCAAGTTGTAAAGAAAGAAGAAAGTTCGTACACTACTAGTGAGAATATAAATTTACATACCTGTTAGGTTTTCAATTTGACAATATTTTGTTATTTTAAGGAAGGACATACAATTAATTCCAGTAATGCCACTTGTAAAATTAGTCTAGGGTAGTGGTGAGCATACTACATTCCGTGGGCTAAATCCTGTCAACTGCCCATTTTTGTAAATAAAATTTTATTGGAACTAAGCTGTGTTAGTCCATTTCTGTTGTTTATAACAGAATACGTGAAACTGGGTTATTTATAAAGACATGAAATTTATTTCTTACAGTTTTGGAAGCTGGTAAGTCCAAAGTACAGGGAACACATCTGTTGAGAGCCTTGCTTGTGGTGGCTGTACACCAATGCAGGGTATCACATGGAAAATGGCTTGAGCAAGAGAGAGCTAACCTACTCACTCACTCTCCTTGTAAATCCATCAGAACCATGCTCATTATGTGGCTGTACACCAATGCAGGGTATCACATGGAAAATGGCTTGAGCAAGAGAGAGCTAACCTGCTCACTCACTCTCCTTGTAAATCCATCAGAACCATGCTCATTATTCCATGAATGAAGCAATCCATTCACGAGGATACGGTCCTCACAATCTAATCACCTCTTCACTAATTCAATTTGTGAGGGATCACTGGGAATCATTTACTTGATTCAGATTTTTATAATTGATTTGATATTTTCATAAGTATATGGCCTTTTTAATCTGTGCTTTTCTACAAACATAATTTTAGTTTAGTGCAATTGCTAATTGCTTAAGTGTTTATTTTCAAACGTGATTACTGTGGTTTTGTGCCCAAAGGACAGTTTCTGAATTTCCATTCTCAGGTGTGTAATTGAACATTTAAATTATTTATAATGTGTTTTCACAAACACGCATTGACAAAAATATTAATATGTAATACATTGTCAATATTAATCATGATTGTGAATTGTATATCTCATCTAAATTGTATACATTCTATTAAGAAAGAGAGGTAGAGACTGAGACAGAAAGAGGTAAAGATATGTACACATCTATATATAGAGAGAGAATGGAAATTAGAGAGGATTAGAGAAAGCAGAGAGAGGTTCAGCAAAGATAAAGTATCGGAGAGTAATAATAGCAGAATTGATCACTAGCTGGTCTGTATGAATATTTTAAAGGACATTTTAACATGAGGAAGTTTATTTACAAAATATTTGCACTTCAAATAGTCTAATAACTTGTAAAGAACTTGTATTACAACTAATTTCAAAAATAAACTTTATTGAACTCATCATCCCTTAACACATTCTTGCTAACAATATGATATCTCACCATTTTTTTTAGGATTAAAAAAGAAATATGATATTCTTATTTTATAGTCTCTTTGGCAACAGGGCATGATGACTCATACAGATCTGACAGTGTGCTTAAATGTTGTTTCTTTTTTTAAAATTTTAATTTTAAAAAATTATTTATTTATTTATTTCACTACTGGAAATGCTGCCTGCTCATTTTTTCTTGAGATAAACTACCTAAAATAATCCGTCCAGATCCTGCCCCAGCGTGTCCCCTCTCCAAGAAGTTCTGAACTATAGAATGCGGTAAAGCAGTTTGACTGAGACCTTTTTCAACTGAGCAAGGCCAGAAAAATTAAATTTATTCTTTTCTTTTCACAAGAATACATAGTTAATTGTGTAAATACACATACTTTATCCCATTGTAAGCAGCAACATTTATTAATAAATCAAAAGAATTATCTTTCTGATTAAAATTTCACTTGTCTCAACTCTCTGAACTATTTAGAATTTTATTTTATTTTATTGTTTACTTACTGTTCTAATTTGTGAGAGTCCTTTTTATTTAATTCAAAATATTTTAACATTTTCTTGTACGTGTTTTGGGGGTACACTATGTTGTTTCAATACATGCATATACTGCACAATTTTATAGTGTTCTGTTATATCTGAAACATTTATTATTTTCAAAGGAATGCTATTTTATATTTCAGGAATATACAATAGATGTTTTCTTTCGACAAAAGTGGAAAGATGAACGTTTAAAATTTAAAGGTCCTATGAATATCCTTCGACTTAACAATTTAATGGCTAGCAAAATCTGGACTCCAGATACCTTCTTTCATAATGGGAAAAAGTCAGTAGCTCATAATATGACAATGCCAAATAAGCTACTTCGAATCCAGGATGATGGGACTCTGCTGTATACAATGAGGTATGTTTTTAGGTTTGATATGCCACATTTAAATACTGGGAAATCCATGTATTAAACAACAAGCCAACTTAGTTGTCAAGTATTAGCACAAGTTGAACATTTTTCTAACAGATTGTTGAAATACCCATGACATGCTTTGTAAATAGATAGATATTAGAATAAAAAGATTAGATGGCATTTACGAATTTGATTCACAGCATACTAAAATTTAAGAATTACCTCAATTATTAAGAATTGATTTTTTTGCTTATTTATTCTTAATACTACATTTTAATTAAGTACAATTTTAACACAATGACTTTAATTTTCTTTATACCAGCATGTAATTTCATTTTTAATATGCCATTGGACATCCCATCATAATTTTAAGTGATTTTTAAGCAAGGTTTTACTTAATTTAATATTTTACTTAATTTAATAATTTAATATTCCTTATGAAGTTATTCTACAAAAAAAATTAAATTCAGAGAGGTTTTATTTGATAAGGCTTACAAGTAAGTTGTATGTGATAAACATATTTTACTTAATTTAATAATTTAATATTCCTTATGAAGTTATTCTACAAAAAAAATTAAAATTCAGAGAGGTTTTATTTGATAAGGCTTACAAGTAAGTTGTATGTGATAAACATATGCATTAGATTGAACCGTAGGAAATTACCATCTTGTAAAAGTGTCACATAGCATCAATTTTATATGATTAAAACATTAATAAAGTCATTGAAAGAAATAAACAGTTGTTGATCCTAACAACTATTCCACTTGAAATATCCTCATGTATTAATATTTTAAAATAAGTTACTTATGCTATGTAAGAAAGAAAAAAATCATAAATCTAATAAAATGATGTAGAATTGAAAGTTAAATTGTTTAATAAAGGATTTAAAGTTTGGGCAAATGTCATCAGCATTATAGATAGACAGACATTGTATTCTAGGCATTTGATGTGCTGTTATTTCATATGAAAACTTAAGTGCTGTGCTTTAGTTATGAGAATTATTTAAGAAGGGAAAATAATACATTCCTACCTATTTTGATCTTTAAAAAAAAAAAAAAAAACTGTTGAAGACTCATTTCTAAATGGCCATTGCCTAAAATGGAAGTGTTGGCTAGCTGTTCTTTCTGCCTTTGCCTCTGAATCCTGAGAAACATTCAGATGCAATTCCCCTGTTGATTTTACACTATTCTTATGGATTAAGGCAATGATTGCAAATTTGGGATTTAAACAAAATATAGGCACAGAATATACAGAATTTTAGAAAATACTGCATGAGGCTCTATTTAAGTACTCTTAGAAGTATATAATCATAATAAATTGTTGGCCACATTTACTTTGCTCATTAGGACAGATTATTCTATAAGTTCCATTCAGTACATGCTTTATTCACTTTGTCTTTATGTGAAATGGAAAGATTGGAAGCTTTTTAAAAAACATATTTACAGTGATTACTTTTTATTGTGATCATGTAGATACAGAAAAAAATGTATATAACATTTATAACTTGTATTCATAATTTAGCCAACAATTTAGTCTCAATAAGATATTTCTAGGAGTTACATCTATTTATGTATTTACAACTACTTCTATATTTATATCTGTGTATCTATATATAGTATATGATACTATATATGTGATTTGAAGGGAGCTTCTCTAAGCCAGTGTTGAATTCTTATATTAACTTGCTGCATGGTTATTGATGAGATGATAGGAAATATGGCATTCTTTTCACAATAGAGTTTTTTCCCCAATTTTGTCTGTAACATTTCAAATATTGTGAGGTTGATGGGAAAGCAGACCTTCAAAAATGCATACATAATTTCTTTACTTCTTAAACCAAAGAGTATAAAATGGCTAAATGTATTTTAATAACTATTACTGTTATTTATTCTTAGATTTTGGATATGCCAATGTCTTTTGAGAAATCACTTAAATGTGAAAGAACAAAAACATATTTAAATGTGAATTAGCCTAATATGATGCTGTAATGCAGGTCCTATCTTATCATTAATTCTGCTGACAACAGTGATGAGTGTTTTTTTGTTGACTTGCCAATTTACTTAAACAAAGAGTGGAATTTTGACTTTTAGGCTTACAGTTCAAGCTGAATGTCCAATGCACTTGGAGGATTTTCCAATGGATGCTCATTCATGTCCTCTGAAATTTGGCAGCTGTAAGTACAGGGATGAAAGTACATGTTTTGGGTCAGTAGTCTCAGGGATAGTCAACAGCATTGCTTGATTATATAGATTCATTATGGAATGCTTAATACTTGGCTTATAAGATACAGAAGTAAAGATGTGCCTATCACCCTCAAGGAACTGATTGTCTAGCCCTCTGCTACTCTCAAATATCATTATATTTTATGATGTTTAAATTATCACTTATTTTACTGCTAATAAAGAGCAGCATGGGTTTTAGTACATGTGTAAAATTAGACTAGGAGCTCCTTGAAGGTTGAAAATAATAATTTACCTTCTTTTCCAAGCACTAGAACATTAAAAATACAAAATAAATGTTTCTTTTTCATCAACTAGGAATGAATTTAAAAGATAGATTCTATTTTTCAATAAAGTAGCAATCAGACTATTGCAAAGGGTGAGCACAGAAGCTGAATCTGTGCAGTTGTCTTTCTATGGTGTAACTAATGAAAGGGATTTTTTTTCTCCCAAAAAAATGGATTTGAAGGAGATAATGTAGCTGGATTGCAACATTCAGACACCTCCGGTGTACACAGAGCATTTCAGAAAAAGCTCTGTGCCTTTGGCCATTCTTTAGGTCACTAGGGTTATATCTTGTATGTCAAGCAGAAGCATTCACACTCCCTGAATAATTGAAAAGGAGGAAGGTCAAATCATCCCCTTAGGTCTACGTGGCATTCCAGGCAGGTTCTGAATAAATTCATGAACATCGCTCAGCAGCTTCCCTCCTGTGTGAGTGTGTCCCATTGCCTGACCTTTTTAGAAATAGTGCTCTTTCTGACACCCCCGTCTTTGTCCATTTGGGGCAGCTTTTGACTTTTCATTCTCTGTTGACTAGAAAAGCAGTGCTCTCACTTGATTGAAAATATATGACTGCATAGTGTGTCTTCTCTTCACAGACTGTATCAGATGAAAGTAAAGGGAAGAATGATGGCTAATGTGAATGCAAACCCTCTAATCATTTTGATGACCACAGTTTTGAGGAATGAGGAAGTTCAATTTTGTTTGTTCTTATAAAAGGTGTCAGTTCCCAATTTTCTTTGAGAATCTTCTTTTTTTAACCACAAAGCCTTCTTTTATTGTCATGGAAACCATCACTTCACTACTGACATTTCTTGCAACATGATTTAAGATAGTCAATCATGTTATACGGTGTAAACATGGTGCTGACAAAACCACAGCAGATGCAGCAGAGAGAAACTCATTTGCATCGCATAAGTGGCATTAAAGAGAAAATTGAAAAGCCTTGATAGCAAAGAAAGAAATTATTTAAGATGCAGTGATGATGTAAGGAGGAAAGATGTTTTTTTCAGTGGACAAGATATTGTCATTAAGACATCAAATGATGTAATGTCTCAATTCCGAAAATAAAATAAATGTGCTTGAAAATATTCTAAACATTTTAATATTTACCGTGCACCTATAGAGTAGTGAAATACTGCATACTTAAGAATACAGTTTTCTGTATCCATAAAGTTTGTTTTTAGGCATTCTCCTCTTAAGTAATTATTATTTATTTTGTTTCTCACATTTATTTTTGATATGCTGAATAAACAACTTGTATATTCTTTTATTTATTTTTGCCTATAGTAGGTGCTTGATGCATAAGTGCTAAAAGTATGGATACCAGTGTGGAGTAATAGGCCAACAAGCTACGCCAAACCTTAAAATGTTGAGACAACAACGTTTGGCAGAAGCACCCTGACTTTTTCTTCTAGTCATTTATTTTTCTCTTACTTAAAGTCTCTCCCCCAAGCGTTCCCCTGGCGAATGATTGAATTACTGGAACTTTATCATTTTGCTCTAATAAAAGAAACATCTTTTCTATATGTTTATAATTTTAACTTGAGTCTTGTTTTATTCCTATTGCATCATACCTTTGTATTTTTCTTTGTTGTTTAACTTAACTAAAACTTCCTAAATGGAAGTGTAGGGATATGCTGTGCATTAGGCCAAAAGAAGTTATACATTTTTAGATTTAAAAGTTAAAGTTAGGGCCGGCCCGGTGGCGCACTGCTATAGTGCGCCGATTGGGAAGCGCGGTGGCGCTCCCGCCGAGGGTTCGGATCCCACATACAGACCGGCCGCTCACTGGCTGAGTGAGGGGCGGAAGCAACACCGAGGGTTGCGATCCCGTGGCCGGTCCTGGCCCGGTACGGGCGCGACACTGAGGGTTGCGATCCGTTGCCGGTCACGAAAAAAGACAAAAAGGAAAAAAAAAAAAGTTAAAGTTAATAGTTAAAAATAATTTTGGAGTATTTTTCTTGGTTACCAGATATTAAGAATTAGTCAGGATGCATCTGTTTAATGCAGCATAGGACTAAAAAATGAATTATTTAAGAGAATTAAACAAAATTATTTAATGAGCCTAATTTAGGGGTGGAATTTATAATGAATTTTGTAAAACAAACTGTCTTTCTCTTCTTTGGTACGTCATTGAGAAATATTATGATGGCCTCCTGGTCTATATATATGTTAATACACCAGAGAAAGCCTCTAATCTGCATTGGATAATTTTCTGTTACACATTTGCAAAATTAAAAAAACCCAACTAATTAATGAAATGCAGTAACTGCTTTTTAAAAAGCAATGTAAAGGATCAGTCATTTTGTTCAATATATTCTCTTCTCCTGATTTTCATCTCTATTACAGTAAATAACAATTAAAATATTATAAGTTTATTTACTAATCTAGTAAGAACAAACTGAGAACTTTTTCTGTGTCTCTGGCACTGTCCTAGGTACTAGAAGTATAGACATGAATCAGACAGAGTTCCTGCCCACAGTATGTCACTAGTTACTTACAAATTTTGTTACTTTTATAAGGTTTCACCTTCTCTTATTTATGTTTAAAAGTAACACCATAATTCAAAAGTGGTGTAATTGAAAAAACATCATCATTTATTTAAAATTAATTAATTTAATTTAAAAATCATTTATTTAAAATTAATTAATTTAATTTAATAAAATTAATTAATTTAATTTTAAAATTCACAACTATGGAGTATTATGAGGACCTTCTGATGTAAAATGGCACATGTGATGTATAGTTTTGATTTATTAAATTCTATGCCATTTGACATTATATTGAAGAGAAGGCCAGGATATGTATTCTAGGAGGAAATACAACAAGTCATTTCATCGTCTGCAAATGAGTTGCTAGTTATCCACATTACCAATGCTATTATTTAATCTTCTTAGTATAACCATTGATGATTAACTATTTGAAAATAATTAAAAAGAAATTCAGACCTTATAGCAACTAGAATTCACTCATATGCAAACATGTGAATATTTCTCTATTATTAAAAATATATGAGGATAGTTCAAAAAGTTTGTGAAAAAATAGAATTAAAAGATGATATGGATCTTTCCATGGACTTTTTGAAGACCCTTCATATACTTATACATATATAAATGTATACATACATATATATTTTTAAGAATCCTATTTTGAAAATTGTTTTACATAATATAATTTACTTGTGGATGTAGATGAATACATACACAATGAAAACAGCATTTCATTGATATTAACATTTAGTAGTGACATTCAGAAAACTAGACAATATTGCAGTATGTTGCTGAAAGACCAGATGGCGAGTAAGACACATACTCATAAATATTCACTTTATTGTTACTAATGCTTGATTGGAAATTGATCTATGACCACAGACCTTGCATCAAGTTCAGTTCCAGGACCACCATAGCACAGTGATATTATACTAGACAACATATAGATGGGAGAAAGGACATTTCCAGTGTCCTGGGGAGGTGGAGGCAGAGCTACTGCCAGAGACAACTGGCCCTTTCTCCACGTCAATTGGAAATGTGACTGTGATGATGAGTTTTGCGTAAGCATCAGGAGTAACTGATATTTCTAAATATTCTCATGAGCAAAAGTATACAGAAGCTTTTCAAAAGGTCAGTAGTATAGCAATAATTATCTGTTTATTCAACTGTGGAGAAACTCTGCCTGCATGGAGAAGTCAGCTGTTCCCCAACAGGACATACAGGGACAAGAGGAATGCCACTGCCAGAGACAGTCTTAGACCGGATATGTTACCTGCACTCCAGCTCTATATAGTCATCTCACTTGTTTATTCAACTGTGGAGAAACTCTGCCTGCATGGAGAAGTCAGCTGTTCCCCAACAGGACACACAGGGACAAGAGGAATGCCACTGCCAGAGACAGTCTTAGACCGGATATGTTACCTGCACTCCAGCTCTATATAGTCATCTCACTTCTGCTAAGTTCTGCATCCTTGGCCAGATTAATCAGGAACTAATACCTGGTCTGTATGTGTTTTGCCTTTTCCTGCCAATCCATAACTCAGCTGAGGTGCTGTGAAAGTGTAGTCTAGTGACATCTGTGTGCATTAATTAATTTAAACATGAACATGTTTTTAAAAGTTTTGCAACTTGATGGAACTGTAGTGTCTGACTTATTTAACATGTTCTGCAATAATTAGTTCTCTTTCTACTAATGAAATGCATTGTATCATGATAGCTCAGTCATTTAACTCGTACCTAGGTTATTTTTATGTCCAGAAAGCAATATAATTTTGAATTATGATATTTTTATTTTATGAGTGATTGCTATTTCTGAATAAGCTGTCTCACTAGACTTTGGGCATTTATAATTTGATTACCACAATGTCTTCATCTGCTAACCTCGGACTAAAGGGAATGATATAACTATTTCAGGGCCCAGTGATTTTTGCAAACTCTATAGAGAAATTTGTTCTTTACCTCTCAAAGTGGTTGCAATGAAAATACTTTCATATCTCGATCATCTCTCTTGGTCTACTTTACATCCTTCATGTTGAAGTAAATTCAAAGGACACATTTTTGCCCTGAAAGTATGTGATATTTGAGTATTAATATTTTTAGTAATCAGTGATTTTATGAAATACACAACCTTTGATGTTGCACTCTATTGATGGTTCTTATTCAAGTGCTTAAAATATTTTTTTCTGATTTCCTACAGATGCATATACAACCTCAGAAGTAACTTATATTTGGACTTACAATGCATCTGATTCAGTACAGGTTGCTCCTGATGGCTCCAGGTTAAATCAATATGATCTACTGGGCCAATCAATTGGGAAGGAGACAATTAAATCCAGTACAGGTTAGTAAAATGAGTCTGAAGGAAAGCTAACACCTAAGAAAATTAATACATCAAAATCATTGGAAATGTATCGAATTTCTCTTGAGGTCGGAGGATTAGCAGCATAGGTTGTGCTTGAGAGCTTTTTAGACATTCAGAATTTAGGCCTCACCTCTTACTAAATCAGGATCTTGATTTTAACAAGATACCAAGGAGATTTTTATGTGCACTAAAGTTTGGGAAACACTAGCCTAAAGTATTCAAAAAGTGTGTGTCTTCTCAGACCACTCAGTTTTAACATTTACCTTCAAACAAGCGTTAACAATTTCCTAGTTTTCTAATTCTTTTTCCCCTATGCTGGATAATTTGTGATTATTTAACTCTTGATTTATGGATAATTACTACTGGCCTGTGTGAAAAAGTAGATTCCCTCTCTAAGGACTACCTTCATCTAAGAAAAAGCAGCTGTGTTGGCAAATTATCTTATATCTGGCAATAATTAAAACTCAGGGAGCAGAAAGGAAGGTAGATTTGAGTATCCGACAGAAGTGACTGAAGCAAATTAGACTGTACGTACAACAGTAAGGAATTCAGAGTTGGCTAATAGAGTCAAAAATGGAAAATCTGGGCCAGAAGACCAGCTTTGGAGATGTGTCCAGAGATCAACACTTAAAGAGCCTGAGAGTACTGAGTTAGAACAAACATAGCAGAGGATTGAGTTTGGAACCAGTGGGGATGAGGGACCTGAGCAAGTAAGATAATAACATTGGCAGAGAGCATGTATGAATTCTGAATCTCCTCGGTCAATAAGCATGACCAAGAGAGAAAAACAAATACCATGTCATGGGACAGGGACTCCAAGTTTCCTGATAGTCTTAAAATTCTATTTTAAATACTCTTGCTATGCTAATGAGGCATTTAAAGGTGATACAGGTGTCATGACATAAAAGGGATAAATCCTTTTTTTTTTTTAAAATCATGGTCTGTTCTATCTCTAATCCCTTCCATTTACAAAATGTTCTAACTATTCACTATTACCGTTTCTGAGGCTTCTTAATTTTTTCTTCTAGGTGAATATACCGTAATGACAGCTCATTTCCATTTGAAAAGAAAAATTGGGTATTTTGTGATTCAGACATATCTGCCTTGCATCATGACTGTCATTCTCTCCCAAGTGTCATTCTGGCTTAACAGAGAATCTGTGCCTGCAAGAACTGTGTTTGGTGAGTGAATAACTACACACTTTGTAGTACGGCACATTATGTTTCACGGTGTGCTTTCAAAAGCATTCTCTCTCTCTGGATCCTCACGCCAGTACTTTGTGGTGTGTGGGGCAGGGAGTATTGTTTTCACCTTATAGATGAGGAAACTGCAGCTCCAAGAGGTAACATACAGAGTCAGTGCCACATTATTAATAGGGAATAGAAACAGTGCTCAAGTATATTGGAAATAACATTTCGTTGTCTTTCTGTCCAATTGTGTTGCTCATCAACATTTGTCTCCATGTGAGTATAAGGAGAATTTTCTTAGAGGTTTTAATTTAGTATAACGGTGCTGTATTTCTAGGCTTTCTATGTTTATTTTTCTTTTGTTTTTAGCTAAAGAAGGATAATCTTAGTACTTTAAGTTAAAGAGAGAAGGCGGGAGGGAGGGAGACCTCAGTCACTTTTAGTAGTGTGTTTGATTCTCTTGACTAAAATCAAGCAGGGGAATTTTTTAATTGAGAGTATGCAATACCATATTTCTGAGCTTTTACTGTTTATTTATTTATTTGAAGATGAAGAAGGATGATCTCAGTACTTAAATTAGAGAAAGAGAGAGAGAGAGGTCTTTCCATTAGTGTATTTAATAACAAAGTTCATTTTCTTGATTAAAACCGTGCAGGGAAATTTAGTTACCGATTTTTGTATATATGAACTAGGCTGAGCACATTTTGTGAAAAGTAGATTACCTTTGTATGTTTGGTTTACTCATTCATTTAGGAAAGTTGTACTGGGAAACTCTTCTGTCAGATACTACACCAGATCCTAGAGCTGCAAATATGGATAAAATGTAGTCTCTGCATTCAAGTAGCTTAGTATAGTGGATGGCAGCAGAATAACCAGAAAGGATAATGACAGTACAAGATAAAGGCATACAAGATAAAAGAGGCATATCCACACTGTTATAAAAAACAACAGCATGGATCCTCCCTAGGAGAATTAATTAAGTAGCTGAGTTAATATGTGAGCTAAATATTGAAGGATGAGTAGGAGTTTTCCAGATAAATGAGACGGGACAAGAATCCTAGCTCAAATGAATAGATTGTGCAGTGCCATTGAGGGGTGAAAGAGCATGGTGTGTTCAGTGATACTGAGCTGTTTCAGTATCAGTGGGGATACCAATAAAAATAGAGCTTGAGGCCTAGATGAGAACGGCTTTGTAGGTCATGTTAACAAAATGCGCCTTTATCTTACAAGCTATATTAAGCTACTGTAGTGTTTGAGGCCATAATATGTGTATAATTCTCAAAACAATGCCTGGAATTTAATCAATTCTATATTAGCTATTTTTTAACTACTTAATTGAGGTATGATTGACATATAAAAAGCTGTACAAATTTAGTGTATACAACTCAATGAGTTTGGAGATTAATGTACACCCATGAAACATCAAGGCCATAGACATATCCATCACCTCCCAAAGTTTCCTCTCACCCCCTTTAAAATTATTATTGGTTTGTGTGTGTGTGTGTGTGTCTGTGTGTGTTAAGGACACAACATTAGATCTATTCTCCTAGCAAATTTTAAGTATACAATACAGTATTGTTAGCCATAGGCACTGTGCTATATAGTAGATCTCCAGAACTTATTTATCTTGCCTAACTAAAGCTATTCTTATTATTAATCTGATCCTATTTGTACTTTAGAAAGATATAGTGTCTTTGTGAAGGATGAACTGGAAGATGGAAATAACCAGAGGCAGGCAGAAAAGTTAGGAGGCTACTGAAATAGTCTCAATGAGATAGTCTCTATGGAAATAACCAGAGGCAGGCAGAAAAGTTAGGAGGCTACTGAAATAGTCTCAATGAGATATGATTAGGTTATTCCAAAAGAAGAGAGTGGCAACAAAGGAAAAAAGGACAGGATCAAAGGATGTTTGGGAGTGAGAATCATTGAATTTGATGAACATCTATAGCAACAGAAAAAAATAATTTAGGGAAATATTTAGGTTTTCTTTCTCGGACACTTCAAGTTTATAATGTTGCTATTAATGGAATAAAAGGGAAGAAAGAAGAGAAGTAGGAAAAAATGAATGTAGTTTGAGTTATGCGTATTTTGAAGTTACTTGTGATATCAATTTGATGTACAGTAGACCATAATAAAAACAGAAATAAGTATATGGAACACAGATAAATAGGAGGAGCTGCTGATAAATGTGGGAATTATCGACTACAAGATCATAGACCTTTCATTATAGAACCTAACTCTCAGAAAAATTAGGCTGATGAATGCAAGATCAGAGGACAGAATCCTTAAAAATATAAAAATTGCAGGATTTGGAAGATAGAAAAGAACTAACTGGAATGATCAGGAAATTAGGAAGGAAACCAGAAGACAACAGTGCTCTAAAGGAAGAGAGCAGAATTTCAGTCTCACACACGTGCATGCACACACACTTACACAGCCACTTTGGATGTAAGGTATCAAATATATACAGGTAAGTCTAAAACACATTGAGTGAACTTGGCTAGTAGAAGGTTGCTGACACTAATTAGTTAAATATGAAAAGTTGCTTTGGTGTAAAATCAGATTGAAGTGGAAATAAGAAGTGAGAAAGGGAAGGAGCTGAGTATACAACAAATTTGGAAGAAGAGAAAGATTAAAATAGCTGGAGAGATGGGTGAATCATCATTATTCTTATCATAATTATTATTAATATATTGTTATTAACATGGAAATTAGAACAATAGGGGGGATTACTCTATGCCAAGACACATGCTGAAGTTGCATACTTCTTATTTTGCCCATGAAGTAGATTTTAACACTTCCCTTCTAAGCAGGAGAAGACTGAGACTCTAAAATTTTAGGTATCTTGTTCAAGCTCTTGAAGCAGAACCTTACTCCAAAGCTTAAGTTCCTTCAACTACAGGATGCTACCTTCATGACTCTCTCTTAAGGAGAAGGAGTCAAGAAACAAAAAGGAGACTGAAGATACATAAGAAGCAGACATTTCTGATGAGCAATTACCTGATGAAAATACTTAAAATGGGCTTGGTTTGTCAAAAAGAAGGAATCCTCTCACTCCAATACAGAATAAAGGGACTTAAGATGGGTTTTCTTGATGCTTTCCTCTCTCAGAATCTTTGCTTGAGTGTTGGACAAACACACAAAATTTGTTTATTTTGGAAAAAAGTGTTCTATTATTATGTTATTGGAGAAAAAATTTACTTAGAGACTATGTCATTAATTATAAATATGATTTAAACAGCAAATGACCTCAAAAATTAGTATAGTGAGTTAAAATTTCAACCAAGTTGTGTAAGAATAATAGCAGAACTTTTTGCAGAATAGATTTGATGGGAGAGTTTCAGAAAGAACTAAACAAAACCATCATACACTAGGACTAAGGGGGAGAGAAGTAGAGAATGAAGGGAGAGTAACAAGAGAAATTTTTATTTTAAAATATATGCACCCATAAAATTAGTATAGTGAGTTAAAATTTCAACCAAGTTGTGTAAGAATAATAGCAGAACTTTTTTGCAGAATAGATTTGATGGGAGAGTTTCAGAAAGAACTAAACAAAACCATCATACACTAGGACTAAGGGGGAGAGAAGTAGAGAATGAAGGAAGAGTAACAAGAGAAATTTTTATTTTAAAATATATGCACCCATACACACACACACACACACACACATACATACATATACATACATATATATATTTTATGGACAAAATTTAAATTAGAATATATCTGCAAAATCAATTTCAGTTTAAGATTATTAACATTTGTTTGTTATTATAATGTCATCATGTTTATTTTGTACTAATATTACATGCTGTGATCTATTTAACTACAGAACATTTAAGTAGTTTACATAGTACTATACAAGTTGGTTATTTTCCATACACATGCCTTATTAAATATTTTGTGCTCAGTCAATAAGAAGTTGATATTTTTTACAACCCATAATTTAGTTATGTAGAATACAATACTCATAATGTATACTCTTTTAAAAGCTATGTGTTTAAGAAATAATATACTGAAACTATATCTAGAAATTAAACTAAGGTGTTATATTAGGATTGCATAGAAAATTCCAATGGAACATAGCCCTCAATTTGACTTTATACATAATTTTCAATATGAAGTACAAATTATAAATTAACACATTGATATCTTCAACTGTTAATGCACTAAACACTTCAAAGTTCCCCTTCCATCAGTCTTTTATGGTGCTTTGCAAATGTCCATATTATGATACTAAATATATTTCATTATAGTTATTCTGTTCAATGCATCTCTCACTCTTCAGAGAGTTCCCACACACAGTTCCAATTGTATGTACTATCAAGTATATGATAAATGAATGACCGATAACAGGTAACTGGGTGGAGGTATAATAAAGTAACCCATTGCAAGGGGCAATTGCTTCATATTAAACTTATTAAGGAAACAATAATGGAAAATAAAATTAAGTTTAATTCTAAACATCAACAAATGTGTTTCCACTATTGTTAGTAAAACAAAACAAAACAAAGCCCACATTACCTATGCACATACAGAGCTGCAAAGATTTTCTCTGTGAGAGGAATGTACATTATGAGTATGAAAATAACATGTAGCAAATGTGAACAAGGAACATTAAGAAAGAGATTAGCACAATTACAGGAATTAATATGGAAATAATGAAAATGCCACAAAAACAAAATGCCAAACAAACAAAAGTAACACACACAAAGAAGAGATGGTGAGGGGGGAAAAACACAGATAAACAGAACTCAACAGTAGCAGTTACACATGCTTTGCAAATGCACACATGAAACATTTTCCAAAATAGATCATATATTAGGCTATAAAACAATTCTCAATAAACTTAAAAAGATTGAAATCATACAAAGTGTCTTCTATAAACACATTGGAATGAAGCAATAAATCACTACTAAAATGAAAATTGGAAAATTCACTAATATGTGGGTATCAAACTCTCTTAAACAACCAATGGGTCAAATAATAAATGA